CACGAGGCACCCAACGTTTTTATTGATTTACTTTGTTAGAGGAAATTTTAGGGGCGTTCTTAAGGATGATTTTGGTTTATTTCACGTCCAAGCGGGGTTGGGGGGGGGGGGGAGGGAGGGATGGAACCCCTTTGGTGTCCTCTTGAACCGTTCCGCTTCCCGAGTTATGATAGCCGCGTACACCGGAATGGGACGGGGCAGGCGGCGGGGGGGTCGTTGTTCGTAGTAATCAAACCGTAGACTCTCGCCCGCCCCCCAAAGCACACAGCCTGTCTGTCCTCGATACTAAATGATGGAGGCCCTCCCACTCCCGCGCTGTTGGAAAGTTTTTTTTTATGAAGCCGTCCCCCCTCCCCCTGTCCGCCGACCCCCCACCCCAGGACAAGGAGAACCTGAAGATGATGATGAACCTCTTGAGAGACAAGAGTCCAAACATTCAGTACGAGGCGTTTCACGTCTTCAAGGTATGCATACGACCTCTCGTGTCTCGTTGTTCGAAGCAAGTCACCCCTAATTTTCTTGGCTGCTGTCTGTGGCTGTGTACCCTGTTTTGTACCTCTTTCGGCTTCTGCCGCCGCTATCTATGTGCCCGTTTCTTGTGGTACTTCTTTCAACCTTGTACAATGTGTAGGTGTTCAGGCCAGCCCCAAAGCCACTTCCTACTGTTGTGTACCTTTCTTGGCGACTGCTGCTCTTGCACCCTATTTCGTACCTCTTCCAACTGCTGCCGCTGTGTACCTTTTTTTCACCTTCGAACACGTCGAGTATACTTGTTAAATAGGTGTCCGTGGCTCTTGCCTGCTCTAAATGTTACCAAATGTTGTTGCGTACCCTTTTCTTGTACCTGTTCCAACTGCTGCCGTTATGTACCTCTTCTTTACCTCCCAAAACATGTACTCTATATTTTGAGGTGTTCATTTGTTGGCGAATGCTGCTTTGCACTCATTTTGGTACATTTTCCAACTGCTGCTGCTGCGTAACCTTTTTTACCTCCCAAAACATGTGGTACTATTTTTACTAAAAGGTGTTCGTGGCCAACCCTAAGAAGCCGCGGGAAGTGACCAAGATTCTGGTCAACAACAAGGCCAAGCTCATCGCGTACCTGGAGAATTTCCACAACGATAGGGTGAGGAACGAAGAGGAGGCGGTTCGATTCATGCCACCCTGTTTTCACGCCCCCCCCAGCAATATTTTTTGTGGGTTCTTGCCAAGCAACGCGGCGTACGTTCATACCCACCCGTAGGTGACACGAGATATAGCATACTACACCCGCTGGACCGATTTTCCAAGCTCGATTTCTCCACGACGAAAGGGGCGCATATGATTTGAACGATGCGTGTTAGAAGAGTTCTTGGCGAGATGGTTCTGACGCCGTCATTCTCGGCACCCCCTCTCTCCTCTGCTGTGGAGGTAGTCGAGCTTCGAAAATCGGTCCAGGGGGTGTGATATCTTGTGTCATGCCACCTACTACGGTGCAAGCACGTGCCCCTTATCCGGGGACGTCGGAACAAGGGCATTAATCTCAAATCCATCTCTCCTTCTCCCCCCCCCCCTCGGCACACACACAAACATGAACAACAAGGACGACGCGCAGTTTAAGGAGGAGAAGAAGCTCCTTGTGAGCACCCTGTCGTTGCTTCAGCTGGAAAACGCCGGGAGCGCCGGCGGCAGTGGTAGCGGCGGTGGCGGCGGCGGCGGCGGCGGCGGCGGCGGCGGCGCAGGGGGTCACCAGCGCGCAGCCTCCGCGGCGCCATCCACTAGCGGCGGTGGCGGAAGCGCGCATCACAGTCGCACGTCGTCGGCAGCATCTTCGTCGTCGTTGGGGGGGGGGGGAGGGGGAGGGGTAAAGGGGGCGAAACCACACCACCGCAGAACCTCGTCGACCTCCTCGTCGTCTTCTTCTTCCAAGCCTAGCGCAAAAAGATGAAGGCCGGGGGGGGGGAGGGGGGGGGGGGGGGGGGTATAACGAAAATTTTTTCCCCTCCGGGGGGGGGGGGGTCACCTAATTCCCCCCCGGGCAATTGGGGGTTTTTTTCCGGG